CAATAGGATCAGATTATTACTGAAATGGCTATAAGAAAATTTCTCGTTATTGATATTATATTTTATAAGAGAGAGCTAAGTTTTTTATGGATTGTGTTCCCAATGATTTTATCACTATAAAAACATCTTTTATTCATCTCCAGTAGCCGATAAGGTTATACATTTATAAGATAAATATTTAAACTAAATATTATTTTAGAAATAACACAACCTTTATACAATAACTGTCATGTGAATTTCGTCTTAAATTTAATTTAGTACGCGCCTATTTAATTGGCTATTGAGAGAATATTCAGCAAAATTTAGATTTTTTTGAAAGTTTAAATGATTGTAATCGATATTTTCGTTTCATCAACATATCCCAATGTTTTCAACGTTTTACATACATTTACATGGCAAGATGTTTCCTTGTACTTTCTTATTCTGAACACGATACGACCCTCAAGACATTATGTTACGTATCATAAAATTTATCAGACATTTTCTTTGTAGCAGCTCCACTTAATGTCATATCGACTAAGGGGGGAATGAGAAGTGGGGTGAGGCTGAAAGCCCACGTGTAAAAGATTATTGATACTCTCCCTTGTTTCAATTGATCATTTAATAAGTTATGATGGCAAGAATGGCAAGCAATTTCATACTTAACAGTTTTATTCCTCGAGACAAAGCCTTAGAGTTTTGAAATAGTCACGTTTGCGTGACTGCAAACTACAGAAACGTAGCCTACTAGGTTTCAAATCTTATCCTTTAAACGAACGCTGTATATATATATATATATACAGCGTGTCGCTACCATCGCGACAATAAACGAACACACGTCTAACGCTACTTGCCAATCATAAAAAAATATTAACGTTAAACAAAATCCATAATTAAAAAAAAATATTTTTCAAACAAACTAATTAAGTAACAAATAAACAAAATTTGTAACATACTATACAACTCGCGCCACAGCGTCGTATTACAAGCCTCTCCTTGTAACAGTATGTTTTGTCTCTTTTAAATTCATTCAACCCATTCATATGCTTTGGGACCTTTACAAATGAATTTTACGTTACACTTTTATACGTAAGGGTGTTCTAAAATTGTTTGTTTTGGAAAATTTAATAACTCGGTAAATATTGATGTTCAAAGAATGTAAATTTTTAATACAATTTTAAAAAGTTATCCTCTAATATGTGTGTTCATTTATTGTCGCGGTGGTAACGACACGCTGTATATATACATATATACACACACACACACACACATATATATAATCGAATATCATTCGAATACGACGGCAAATTTCGCCGCAAAAAAAATGTTATAATAGCTCGGTCGGTAATCGAGCGGCCCCGAAACAGAAAGCCGTGGTTCGAGTCACGATCATTTACACATTTATTTTTTTACCTTTTTTTTCGATTCCAGATCATTGCTTCCTTTATTTTTAATTATTAGTCGATTTATTACTTTGTTATTTTTTTCCCTTTTTTTTAAAGTTCTTTCTTTTGAGAAAAACATCACTTCATATTTTATTATTACGTCGGTAAGATCGAAAAATATTATGCATATTTCATTACTCAGTAATTTGTATCTAAATGTAATTTCCGTAAAACACGATTTACCAAAAAAAAAACAAACCGAGACAAACAAAGCTCGGTCCTCCGGGTACTTAATATCTATGCCTACAGATTATTCAGGTTTAAGAAAAAAAAATGAGAGAGAATGAGAAAATATTGAAATTAAATTAAGATATTAAACCAAAACCATTAAAATAGCTTAAGTTTTCATAGGCTTGGATTTGGTTTCAGCAATGATTCATTTGCAGGAAACAGAATTAAGTAGTTAATCTGCTACTTTTGAGCGTAGATGGATCGTCTTTTAATTACAGTTCAAAAATATACTCAGAAGAAATTATTCTAATAGCCGTAAATACAACTCAGACGAACCATTGGCCAACCTGTCTGAAAAGGTGTTGTTTTTATCAAGTCAACATAATAGTTGAAGAATTACTTAACCTTAATTAATTATTACCGTGTTAAAAGAGGAACACAGATAGTGTAATGAGGTCAGCCATTTCAAGCAAATTCCGAATCCTATCAACGAATACAATCTTTTGGCATGCGTTTACGAGTATACCGCCACAATGAATTAAAAAGTACAGTTACCACCAAGTTTATAAAAAATCGAAAGTTTTCATTGGTAGCCCCTGAAGTAATCCTTTCGCCAAATCAAAGAAATCAGAGAAATTTTATCGAAAATGCTGTCAATTATGTACCCACATTCTGCTTTACTCACAAAATTGAAACAAACACCGTTTGACATAAGCAACAATCCCGTTCAGAATCCTAATTTTTGTGTCAAAAACATAAGGAAAGCTTTGACATTAGCATGTTGTGATATTTTAATGAGTTGATTCGGCACCTGCATATCGATTTTTTTGCCAATTTGACATAGATCTTAGTTCAGTGTTGGTCAGTGACTTTTAAACACTTCTGATGAACAACCTCTACTCCCAATTTCTTTGAAATGAGTCTGCATTTTGGAATATGGCTTTAATTAATCTTTATCAACTTTCATCTCCGATCAGCTCTGTATAAATTTAGTGTTTAATGAATTTTTTTTAACTATCTTTAAAATCAATTCGAATTCTGAATATTCAGAAGAATTTATGCTTTAGAATTTTACGGTGGTAGGGCCACGCAGCAGCCTCGGCTGTTGCTCGGCTCGAATGGGCAGGCTCGTCCGCGTAAGTACCACGACCTCTCAGAAGACCGGCGTAAAGTAGAAGTATAATACTTTCGCGTTTCGTCTGGTGACTGAGGTGGCCGGAGCCCAACGTTCAAAGGTTGTCAACGCATCTGTAACCCTCGGGTGTAGCAGATGTCCATGGGCGGGGGTATTCACTTAACATCAAGTGAACCATCTGCTCGCTTGGTAACTTTTCACATAAAAAAATGCTATTGATCGTCCTTTCAGTGAGTATTAAAAACAGAAGTATAACAGTTTAATGTTAATAACGTTTTGATAGCTTAATCTTAATAACCTTTTTGCTAGGGATATATTCGCATAAATAAAACATCAAAGTTGTAATTTTAAACGCATGTCTTTATTAATAAATAGAAAGATACATCCAGTTAATAAAAACAAGCAAAATTACATTTTAAAAAACCTAAATCTATAAAAGAAGCATGTTAGCGGACAAATAGTTATATGAATAAATAGCTTTTAACGAAATATCATGAATAAAAATTACATTAAACTCATATGACTAGACTCGTTAGAAAACCTACTTAATTTATCGTTATTTAGGGTTTTCGCCTATGATTTCTTTTTAACGTCAAATTTATCAACATTCCCAAATAACATTGGTCTGGCAATCGAGTTCAGACATTACAATTCGCCTATTAAATGTTACTTAACGCCTAATTGCTCCTCATTTACGAGTTTTACGCTAATTTACTTTTATATATACAGATATTCTTAAATACGTAATTGTAACTTTTTATATAATTAGCAATATTTCACACTAAAAAGATTTGAGACTTGCGCCTTACGATAAAATCACATTTCAGAATTTTTTGTTTCTCAATTTCGATTGAGTTAACAGCACTCTTTGCAACTTTATGTAAATGTTCCGAAAAATGATAAAACTTAAAAAATAATGTTTTAAAATATGTAAAAATAATATCTCTGAATTATAAAAAAAAATTATAATTTAGATATTAACCTGTCGTATGGCCACAACACTTCGCTATTGCACGAATGGGCCGGATCCTTCCGGAGAAGCATCACGACCTCACGGAAGCCCGTCGTGAAGTGTAGGTGCTATACATCTGCGTTTCGTCTGATGAGTGAGACAACCGGGCCCATTTTATTAAAATGTGGCAACGTATCTGCAACCCTACGGGTTGTTGCAAATATCTATGGGCTAAATAATCTAAATATTTTCACTCAATATCAGGTGAAACGTCAGCTCGGTTGCCCCCTTCTCACATAAAAAAGTTGTTTTCTTTGACCTTAATATGAATTGCTATTAGTAACATATAAGTACTTCCAAATGTAACATTATGAACATAACGTTTAAAAAATATACCCATAATTCCTACATACGTATGTATCCTATTTATTTACATTTCCGCAGTAATGGAGATTATAAGTTTAAGAGTATAAAAATGGATAATATTTCTATTAGTTCGCATAGTACATTCAAGCGATCATGTCGATAATATATGATGACAAACTAAGGGCAAATAATGTAAATGTAATTATTAGTACTTCAAAAGATGAAAATGTTTTATTTCCTCAGTGTGCGGAGTGCGTACTTTATGAATGCCGGTGAGAGAACTTCGTAAACAAAATGTCGACATTTTATGCATAATGTTGACGTTAAAACTAATTATCAAATGATGTTTTGTTAATTCATTTTTTTAAATTATTAAGTTACAGCAGATGATTCGCTTTAAGACAAATTAATATAAAATATTATCAAATTCGCGTAACATTTACTGAACTCACTGATACTCTTTTAGATTCTTTTAAACACTAATTGATTAACACAAGAACTTTACTCTGTGATAGAACAAATTTTGAATACTTACTAAATTTGAAAAGAAATATAGTACTTCGACTTGAGAGCGCAATTTTTAAATTACCTACCCCTTCTCAATATTCATGCCGTAAAATTAATAAGTTCGAAACGTTTATATATTAACAAAGACCAAGTTGCGATCGAAATAGAGAAGTTTTGGCAATGAAATACAGAATCATCATTTTATTTCATTCCTTTGGTCATACATAAAAAGCACCTGACAATGATAGTAAAAGCCTAAAAAGATCATAAGACAATGTACAATACAAACAGTATGTAGCTAGTTTACAATAAAAATACATATTCTACCTACTGATGCGCTCCAAAATGATTCAATTGAAACTCACTTCGAACGAACACATTACAAGTCATTAAGAGAGTTGTATCGGTAATTTGTTAAAGCAATCGTCTCTATTGTAAATAACTACGTTAGGAAAATTACGGCTGTAATCAGGATCGAGAGCGAGTCGAACGCGGGGGAGATTCCATCCGCTGAGCTGGCGGAGGCGGCCAGGGCGCTGGCAGCGGCTTCCACACACTGCCTGTACGCAACGTGCTCCAAACACGTTATGGCACAGAAGTGCTGATGGGCACAGGCGCCGTCACAGTTTTCTGCGCTTTCGTGTTTCACGTTATACGCCCGTAAGTACCTGCGAACAAGGATATCTCTCGTCTTTTAAAACTGATGGCTGATGACTGATCCGCAGCAGAAGTGTAATGCAAGCTTTCGATAGGGTTGATCGTATGTAAAGTGAAAGTGTGAGGATTTCTGCCAAGTTCTTCAAGTTTTCTATCAAGCTGTAACATTTCCGGCAAGCAGAGGTAATTGCGAGTGTCTACTTCTAAAGAGATGTTTGCGTCTGTGAAATTTACATATACATAGTTCTGAGTATTAGTGCATATTGATCGTCTTAACCATAGTGATAGATCATTGTCCGAGCTCGCTTTTAATTGAATATACTCGAGCAACCTGAGTACGATCCCCGGTGCCGGCACCAATAAAATTGTTAATTTTATGTGCTGAATTATCACGTCCTCAGAGGTGAAGGAAAACATCGTGAGGAAACCTGCATGTTTTCGAAATAATAACAAAAAAATATGTGAAGTCGAAAGTGTTCGAAAATATGTGAAGTCCGCCAATCCTGCGGACAGAACAGAGGAGGCCTTGGCCCAGCAGTGGGATATTTATAGGCTTTTTTACTTTAACCTTTATTTATTTTTCACATTAATTTTTTTTCTTATATTCTATTTTCTTAACGGTGGTAGGGCCACGCAGAAGCCTCGGCTGTTGCACGAATGGGCAGGCTCGTCCGGGTAAGTACCACGACGTCACAGAAGACCGGCGTAAAGTGGAAGTATTATACTTTCGCGTTTCGTCGGGTGAGTGAGGTGGCCGGAGCCCAATTTCCAAAAAAGTTGTCAACATATCTGCATACTCTCGGCTGTAGCAGATGTCCGTGGGCGGCGCTATTCATTTAACAACCGTCTGCTCGTTTGGCAACTTTTCAAATAAAAAAAAAATACTCGTGTGTGTGTGTGATTGGACTATTTAAAAATATAAGGTAGATACTCGTATATAAATGTACATATATTATACAATTTAAATAATAATATACATATATTGGCATATTATGATTCGTAGAATAGTTGAATAATTATTTAAAGTTAAAAATATTTTACATAGAGGACATTAAGTAGCAAATATTAATCAATAGTTATTGGTGATGTAAGTTCCGAATTTCATTTCACTTGAACATCCAGTTATAGATAAACAAACAATCTACGACCTGCCATTGTTCCCGCGTAAGGAAACAAAGGCGGCTTACTTGTAAAACATGGCGGTTTCGTGAGGCGCGCCTATTCGAAGTTTGTCTGCCAAGTTGTGCAATGACTCGGCAGATACGTCACGAAGCCCGTAGTACTGGGTCAAATTGTACTCGGCGATCCACTCGGGTCCGCCCGCGCCCACGCGATTTGCCGCGGCGAGGTCCAAGTAATACTGTGTATAATCCAGGACCTGTACAATAGACATAGTAATCGTCATCAAAGCCCTATTGGTCAGTTTCTCTTTTATCTAGCACATCAACCACACAACGATCTGATGTTTTGGCGATGGTGTCTTACAATTTTCAAAGCATTTATTTAGTGATCTTTTATGCTTCGGTTTAATTTTATTTAAAAAAAAATGTTATTTCTGGTTTTGTTACAGTACTTTACTTCATGTGTTCAAATCAATAGGCCAGTGCTGCTGGTTCGACCGCTCCCCGTAATGTATACTGATTTAGTTAAAGATCGCAGATTGCAAAGTTAGCAATCGCAAGTTAAAACTTATAAAAATATTGATACATTTACCTTGCCAGTATCAGAATCAAATTTGTACAATCTTAGACCTGGATTTGATGCACCAGTGGGTTCATGGTGGGGGCTTACCGACGGTGCCAACAATGCCCAAGATACTGGTTGATCTGTATACAAAAGTCATATAAGATAATATCTACTCATTAATTGTACACACACAAAACTTTATGTATATAGCGTGTCTTTACAATCGCGACAATAAATGAACACATATAGGGAACAACTTTTTAAAATTGTGTTAAATATTTACATTCTTTAAACATCAATATTTACATAGTTATAAAATTTTCCGAAACAAAGAATTTTAGAACTTACGTATAAAACTGTAACGTAAAGTTTATTTGTAAAGGTCACAAAGCATATGAATGGGTTGAATGAATTTAAAAGAGACAAAACATACTGTTAGAAGGAGAGGCTTGTAATGCGACACTGTGGCGCGAGTTGTATAGGTGTTACAAATTTTGTTTCTTTTTTACTCAATAACCTACTTTGTTTGAAAAATATTTTTTTTAATTATGGATTTTGTTTAAAGTTTATATTTTTTTATGATTATTGGCAAGTAGCGTTAGACGTGTGTTCATTTATTGTCGCGATGGTAACGACACGCTGTATATTTAAAACCGTAGCTTAGTCAGACCTAACGCAAGGAAACAAATTATCGAGTTATTTTTTTTAATAATTAATTTTAAAAACAAAATAAGGAGTCACGTGTACTGTCGATAAAAGTGAAGAGATAATACTGGAATATTTGTCTTTTTTAATGAGTATATGAATAATTAAAATTAAAAAAATAATTTATATTGCAAATATCTGTACCTAAGTATATAAAATAGCATCGAACACCTAGTAATTTTGTTTTATGGAGATCCAATAAAATAAAAAAAATAATAATTTATCTAAAATTAAATAAAACCAAATTATATCAAAAGTTTAACGTCAATGACAAACACGTGACATTAGCTTGTTGGTGACGTGTTAAATTTTGCCATATTCAAAATTGCCCACCGTGAAAACATATAGTTTATCGCACCTTTATTGTAGATAACGCGGAATGTGTCAGCGTGCAGGTGTCCAAAAAATTGCCCAGCTATAATTTTTGCGTGACGCCGTATCATCCTCAGGTACTTTGCATTGGCGTCCACCGATAAAGAGTTATAAGCTGGTCGCAAGTCCGTCCCAGGTGCTGCGTGGCCAACTATATACACCTGAAACATACATTTAATCTCTTGGCGTTATAGATGACTAGCTGTTAACCGCGGCTTCGCCCGCGCGGCCAAAGGGAATAAACAATGAGTTTTTTTTATTTTACCCCAGAATATCTCACAAATGGTTGAATTTTTTCCTACTTATTTGACACTTATCATTATATCTATATTTTGGAAAATTCACACAGTATGTTTATAAATTATAGCCTATATGTTATTCTGATGTATAAGCTACATTATTGTAAGTTTCATTAAAATCTGTTCAGTAGTTTTTGCGTGAAAAAGAATCAAACATCCATCCATACGTACAAAGTTTCGCGTTTATAACATTATATTAATATTAGATATATTACTATATAAGTAAGGATAAACACGTAACTACGTATATGACGAATATTGTAAACAGAAATTATGGTCCGTTTTATAAAGTGTACACTTTAGGCTAATTTTAGGTTTACTTTTTGTTATGAAAGTGCCCTTTCTATTTCTAATCAAAACCCTGACTCGTCTATTATAATCATAACGCAAACTCTACTGAGTGAGGTACAATTTCTTTTATCTCTCTACTTTATACATCACACGAAAAGCTTCCAAATAAACTTCTCTCATAAAGCTATTTACGAAAATCCAACTAAAATACCACTTCACATGATTTTTGTGAAACAATTTCAAAGCGATTAGATTAACGACTTGGCTTGTAATTTATTAGAGCTGCCGTGGCCGGACATCCTTCGCTCTGTTCCGGTGACGTAGTTATGATTCAGACTAGTTAAGTGCAGTGGCCAGCGGTGCTTTTGTTTTGAATACAAATAAAGCCGTGAAATAATTTGCAAAATTAAATTGCAAAATATCTACTATTTTTAACCGACTTCGAAAAAGGAGGAGGTTTCTCAATTCGACCGTATATATTTTTATTTTTTTTATGTGTGTTCGCGGATAACTTCGTCTGTTATGAACCGATTTTGATGATTATTTTTTTGTCGGAAAGGAGATATCTCAATGGTGGTACCATGATAAGGAAACCCGAATATGATAAGGCATCCCAGAGAAATCGAGGGCCATCATTGAATGTTATAAGTATTAACAATGTTTTTAATTTTCTGATTGAAGTCAGTTTTTTTTTCGTTAAAGATTATATGGATTTCGTTTATAGGGATTAGAAATAGAAAAAGGCTATTGAAGTAGAATTTATATATACGATTTCATTTGATGATCGATTGAAACACCACTTAAAACACATTTTACGCTATTGTCGAAGACTGGACAAGTAGAATAAAGTTGACATTTTCTATACTTTTATATGACCGTTAAATCAGTTTAAATTGGAGTATATATTATTACTCAGAACATTTATCATTAATTAGGTCATAAACAGTTCACTGTCAATCCACTTGAAATGGCAGTATATTTTACTGAGCTCTGAGGTAAGAGGGGTAGTCAAAATACCATCGTAGCTACGTCTGGTATTTTAAATTCTGTACCAATTTGGCTTTTCGGGTCAGTAAGGTCAGTGATATTTGAAATGTTTCTATTGACGTTTTCTGGAAACCATTAGATTTCAAGCGTCTGCGACATTTTACAATATTGTGAGGAAGTCATCAGAGGATAAGAAATCCAATTGAATATGATTGCTAATGATTGATATGACTCTATTAAAATGTCAAATCTATCATTTAATCGATATGATTTTTTATGATAACATAGGTTATAATAATGTTGTTCCGGATACAATTTGTACTGAAGAAACTAATCGACATAAATACAATGTTGTAGTCTTCTGATTCTGCAATAGTTTTACCCACACATTTTTAATTTATATTTTTCGTGCACAAACCAGAACTTTAAATTAAAAATTAAGCAACCACTTAAGTTTGTCATTTATTGTAAACTTTTTTGTTTTTATTTCTCGTTATCTGCGAATCATTTACAAATTTAACAGATAAATCCAGTCGTAATAATATATTTAACAGAAATGGTGCGTGGAAATGCTCTAAAACCATTTCATTTTCTTTTCTCAAGTTCTACAGTAAAAATATACCAAGAATTACATTAATCAAGCTAGTCGACGCGGTGTTGAATTATTTCGTGTGAGTATTTGCAATCTCGCTGTTTCTTTTTATCGTTTACTTTTAGCCATTTGCTATGTAGGATAATCAAAATACATAGTTCCCTTGGGTCATTTTTTGATATTAACTTGTAAAAATATATGAGTGGCTATAACAAAAATGTTAGTCTTTCTTTCGTAATCTTGGTAAAAATAATCTAATATTTTTTAATCGTCCTTCTTAAATCTTTCTTAATAATTTATAGGAACTTTTGTAGTTGAGTTACCAATTAACAAGTTACCAATTCCATAATTCTTATTTTTTTTGCAGTTCTTAAATGAACGTCGCTATAGACATGCTATATATCTATTAGCAATAAGTATTTTAGCTTTGTTAAAGTAATAGAAATTATACAGTATATAGTAATTTAGATGACTCCGTGGCGCAGTTGGGGTTCGATTCTTGTGCGACCCACAGATAGTTTTTTCGCATCTGGGTGTTTGTTGATGTGAAATTTATGTTTGTAAAACTTCCTCAACAAAGGATAATATTATCCTAAAGTGAGGTCAACGTTTAAAAAAAGGAAAAATATACATAAAGGGACAGCCTTTTTATATGGACGAAAGATAAAAAATTTGTTTAATTTAAAACTAACAGTAATGTGCATATAGCAAGCAAATCATTATAGATTAGAGGAGCTGCGATTGGAATGTCTCCTACACCTTCCATATTCCCCAGACATTGCTCTATTAGCACTTTTTTCGCAATTTGAGCAATTTATTGCAAAGAAAAAAATTCAATTACAATAGGTAAACCTCATCGCCTTCAAAGATTTTATTGATTCTCGCTCCTACAATTTTTTCAGGAATGGAATCATTGTACTTCATATAAAATGGCGAAAGTACATAGGTATGGTATATAATTGGATTAAGTAAATATATAACTCCATATTTTTTTTCATTTATTTTTAACATATCACCAATTTCATATGTAAGGACCCATTTCATATTTGCACTCCAATGTTTTAGTTACCTAGTTCTCATAGCACAAGCGTTAAAGTAAATTCAAAAAACATAATTAGCAGGATTTACAAAATATTTTAAGCTATAATTATCCGTGATGTTCGCACTAGACGAGGCCTCCATGGAGAGCACAAAAATCTATTCAACGTAATCCAGAGACAAATAAATTTAAAAATGTATTTTACTCTATAGAAAAAATAAATGAAATACTTACCATTTCTTTATTTGCCTGCGCCTTGTCTAACACCGCGTCTAACCATTCCCACTGAGCCTTCGCTGGAACGCTATTTACTTCACGAATTCCAAATAAATTTGTATTCAAAGCCACGATTCTGAGTTTGCTATGGGACTGTTCTATCGTATAATAACCACCTAAAACATGACGCATACAATTTATATGTTCTTTTTCACTGTTTTTCGTTGCAGTTGAGCACAAGGTATAGTATTTTCATCGTTTATTGATAATTTTTATACATGTATAAATAATTATTTTACATTTAATTAATGTTATATTTGTAAAATGTATGAAGCATTTGACTGCCATCCCACCCAACGGTAGGTGCAGGCTTAATCGTAGTTGGTAATTGCACCAATTCAATAAAAGTCTATTCACTCTTGCCTTAAAGACACTAAGTGGTCTTGTTATTCAAATTTCGATTGTACATGCACAATAGCGGCGTCATTTTGTATTATTAAGGAGTGGTACTTCCCTTCTGACTCAGACTCAATACAATCGAAGCTTTGTTATTTCCCAACCAATTTTAACAATTTTTATATTCTTTTGATGCATATTCTGAAGACGCCAGTGAAAATAACGGGAATGGCACAGGGTTATTATACAGCTGAACTACTAGGATGCTGCACCGACAAGCCTACCTCTTAAATTAAAGAAGAAGAATGAAAATAACAATTGTTTGTCACTATATTTTTAGCGACGTACCTTTAATATGTCACTAAACTTACCAATTTTAAACGTTTGGAGGGCCTCTAAGGGTAACCAGTGCATCCACAAATTTGTTAGGCTTTCCGAGGGCGATGGGTCCAAATGGCCCAAGACTGGAAAGACGAAGTGCGAGCTGAACGTTCTGCTCAGTAGCTCTGTCATGTTTCTGATTGCCCGGTACCTGTCTTCCTTATTACCAGCATATTGAGCTGCTATGATGTCCCTGAACACACAGAACTGTCTTAGGTGAAAATAAAAATCGGCCACGTGTGAGTCGGACACGCGCACGAAGGGTTCCGTAACATTATCTAAAAAATGGAAAAAACTCCTCTCTGGTGTATGGAAGCCCTACTTAAATATTTCTTTATTCTGTTTTTTAGAATTGGTTGTTATAGCGGCAATACATCATTTGTGAAAATTTCGACTGTCTAACTATCACGGTTCATAAGATTCAGCCTGGTTACAGACGGACAAACAGACAGGCAGCGAAGTCTTAGTAATAGAGTCCCATTTAGCCTTTGGGTACGGAACCCTAAAATCGCATACATATATACTTTACATACATATTTTGTATAATGTAATAATACTTCACATACATATTCTGATTCAATACGTTTTTATAATGGATTTTTTTTAAATTGACTCAAATAATGGAAATTACAAAGCATTTTTCTTACCATATTTAGCACTTTTAAATGGTTCAATTAAAATTTTATCACCTTTTTTATTTTTGAGCGTAAGAATAAATCAAATAAAATGTAAAGTTGATATTAACTCTAATTAAATGCAATAAAATATAGCCTTAAAACGGTCTGAAATAAAATTTATACAATAAAATATGCATTTTTAAGAATCACAACGTCAATTTTGACTGGTAAATGTTACAAATGAACTCTGGTAAATGTTACAAATGAACTGTGACGTATATAAGAAAAAGTGTTCGACACTAACTTGACAAGGGTAGAAGACAGGTTAGAAACATTGTACGATAAATTGTTAGCGTTATTTTACCTTCTCAGCTTACAAATTAATGTGGTAAAGTTAACATGCAGTCAAGAACATCTTTTAGTTAATTATCATATCGTTATCGGTCAGTGGGGAAAATTATAACCGAGAGCCGAGAGAGTGAAGAATAGACAATTGTTGCGACATGAATAGACCCCACATTTAAAATATCACAACTATATCTTACGTACCCTGTCCATAAGACGAACTCGACGTTTTCAGAATGCCGCGTCCTCATGTACTTTGCTGCTGACTCAATAAGCTCGAGTGAGCTATCGCACGAATAGTCCCCGAATCGACCTAAAGCCCGATGATGCCCGGAACTTCCGCGCTCATCCGCCCTTCTACAAACTGTAAAATCAGTTAACGTAAATATTGTTTAAGACCACGTTTAGGGTCTCTTTCAATTCCGCCAAATTCAATGTCACGGCATGAAAAATGTGTGCATGTATTTGCGTACATCTGATCGAAATTTTAAAACTGCCCTTAGTACGAGACTATTACGGGTGAGGCTCCCCAAGCTGAAAATAATTTCTTGGACGAAATCTAATTTTTGTTTTAATTAATTTACATATTAAATAACATATTAATAATTTTGCACTGAGCTTACAAAATAGTACACTTGGCAAATAAATTATCAGGCATGCTAGTGAGGACATTTCTTTTTTAGTTTTCCCATATTATTAACTTACATCGTCGGGTATCACCTTGTGATGTGTAGAGGGGATCGTAATGGAAATCCGTTATATGCCAAAAGTAACCTGAAACAAAAGAGTTGCAAACTTAACTGCAATTCCTTATTTTTTTAATTAAAAGTTAAGGAAATAAATTTTTACTCAATGATGTATGCACGTTCTTGTAAAACTTAAATCGAGTGAAAATTTCAAACAATAAACTAGAATTGTATTTTTTTATTTTAAACAATAAGCCAGCAAACGAGCTATTCAATATGAAACTGTACAATGTTTTATTTTCAGTTATTCTATGTATTTATATCTTATTTTTGTCATAAAATTAAGTAGAAAACGTACAGGTTTCAGTTATTTTACATAAAAAGTCAAATATTATTTCTCCTAAATCAGATTTAATCCTGGTAATCCGAGCACAGTCCCAAGTAAAAATCTGTAATGCTCTCTAAACACGAAACGACAATTTATTTTCTTTTTATGTTATGGCAAAAAGACGCCAAAACTCATATTCGCGTCCTGAATTCCAATGACTCTTCAAAATACTCGTTGGACTTTTATTCAGTGTAAATTTGACTACGGATGCTTTTGTGGTCATGAAGGCTAAAATTAAAAGTGTCTACGTTTGCTCCTCGTATTGGTAATAGATCAAAAATTTTGAGCTGTTGCAGCTTAGTGTACGGACACTAGATTTTAATTTAAATTACTCCGTGGCGTAGTTGCCAAGGTATTGGCTTCGGAGTCGGAGGTATCGGGTTTGATTTCCACACGGGACAACTATTTGTGTGACCCACAGATAGTTGTTTCGCATCTGGGTGTTTGTCTGCGTGAAATTTATTTGTAAAACGTCCTTACAACACAGGATATCGTTATCCTAAAGTAAGAGAAATGTCTTTAAAAAAAAACATTTCAAATGTTCGAGCAACCTCAGTTTAAATCCATGAAATTGTTAATTGAATTTTTCAGTGCTGACTTATCACGTGCTCAGCGGCGAAGGAAAAATCCATGAGGAAACCTGCATATTTTTGAAATAATAATGAAAAAAATATTTCAAACTTATGTCAAGTCCGCCAATCCGCGGTCCAAAGGGTCACGTGGTGGACCATGACTACCCTTATATACATATATACCTGTATATAGATACAGAGGAGGCCATTGCACAGCAGTGGGACATACCTATATGAGCTTAACATTTTACTAAGTTCTAAGTAAAAGAGTATAAGATGTTATTTGTCACAGTATTAATCTTTAATATCGTACATATTCTAAAGCAATGTTTTCAATTGATTGAATTATGGGTGTGAAAATCATTAACTTAATTTGCTTCAATCTCTTTTATTAGGAAACAAAGTTTTTCTATCAAATCACCCAAACAAGTGACTGACTATTGAAACGAAATATTAAAGCTAAGCCAAAAGCTTAACTGAAAGTCACGCTCATTTCATCTCCAATAAAAACAGACTATATTTTTCTGTGGAATAAATGTGATGGAAAAAAAATTCCCGAAAGAAATACTATTACGCTGTAGCGTTCGTAGTACCAAAACTGTCACTATAATTTGTTAGAATCTATCCACATCGTTGAACCTGCTATATAATAAGACTAAGGCTAGTCAGGGCAAAAACATTTGATAAAATAGATTCTTATTTTGATGAAAAATTATGTATTCTGATAAAGCGACTGTTTTTATAAATATACTAGCGGCCCCGACAGACGTTGTCCTGTAAACACGTTTTTTTAAATCTGACGACAACGTATAAATAAACAAAAAAAAAACAGAAAAAAAAAACAAAAAGTTTCATTAAATTCGGTCCAGCCGTTTATGAGGAGTTCAGTGACATACACACGTACGGAAGAATTATATAAACATATAAAGATTCTCTTCTTCAATGGAAGTGTAATAGACAAATTGTAGAAAATTTTTGCTGACGTCAGAATTTAAACATGTTTTCTGGGTAAGGCGTCAGACACTCCAGCCAACTGAGCTAAGTGCGAAATATCCCCACGTCGCGGAAATCTCGACATCCAGCTACATTTTTTACATGTCTTTACATATGAAATTTCCGTTCTTCGGTACTGGCCATTTCAAACAAAACAAAAGTTTTGATTGGCTGTTAATTCTGTAGTAGGGACAAAGATTCTAGGCAATGTGATTTATTCCTGGCCGATTTCGTAATTCTGGCCGTTTAGTAATAATAATAATAATAATAAAATATCTTTATTCACATAGACGCTTGCGCGTTCTTATGAAACGTCGAAATTTTACAAGGAAATTAATTAATATGAAATAAACGTACCTTTCTTTCTTTCTTTCTCGTAGTTGTGTTACTGTCTGGCAGAGAAATGACTTAAATGAAATTAGAATCACCAAGCACGATGAAGAAAAAAAAGTCGTATTCATCGCCACTCGTCGTTCCTACCGAATGTGCATAGAGTTGGGGGATTAAAGTAAAATTTCATGTATTGGTTCTAACCAATATTCTAATATTGGAAATCTTCAATAAGATAAAAGACTATGGTCTTAAATACTTTTTTCTGTTTAAAATATCTCTATGACCCTGACGTAGCAGTCAAACAAAAATTGAAATATCTAGAAAATCCAGACTGTTTTAAAGTCGTCAACGAAAAATAATTACTGTCGGAATTAGTATCTTATCATCTTTTCGACCTATGCGTGGTAAACGCTTAGTAACAATGTCAATTCGTGGATGCGCAATGATATATTTTTTCTTCAGTAAAAAATTGGTTTGGTAAAATACTGAGAAGACTGGAAATGAAGAAAATTGTAAGCTGAACTTGAAGCTGAACCCGATGAACATGTGCCAAATCATAAAAAGAAAAATTCAGAAATGAAACTTGTTCGACCCAAAGAAAATCTTACTAACCAACGGTTCTAGGAACATATCAATGATCCTGCAGGTTGAATGGGTGTGAGGTAGAATAAGAAATCAACGGTATTTTACAAAGAATACGAAATCTACTCATGTTTTGCCCTAATCGTAATTGTTTTGCAAATACAGTTCATTATAACTTTCATAACACTAATTTAATAATAACTTATTAATCTCTAATCATCATCATCATCATCATCATTTCAGCCTGTTTGAGTCCACTGCTGAACATAAGCCTCCCCCATAGACTGCCATGAAGTACGATCCTGAGCCATCTGCATCTATCGACATCTATCACATTTGCACAGGTTACACTCCATCTAGTGGGGGGGTCGTCCCACACTGCGATCGCCAGTACGAGGGTGCCACTCGAGAACCTTTCTTCCGCACCGGTTATCGGTTCTACGAGCTATATGGCCGGCCCATCGCCACTTCAGGTTGCTAATCCTCTGAGCTATGTCGGTTACCTTGGTTCTACTGCGGATGTCTTCGTTACGAACTCTATCACGCAGAGAAATACCGAGCATAGCCCGCTCCATAGCTCTCTAATGTTTCTATTGAATTACTATAAATTTATGAGCATAAGTTTTCAGTGTTTTGAGAAAAATGTAATTGTCACAGATTTTAAAGCATTCAGCATTTTAAAACTTATTAATATGGTTAATATTAAATAATATTTAAACCAATGATGACATAAATTTTATGATTTTTTTTGTTATGTTATTATTAACCGTTTCATTGGATGGAAAGATCTAGTGTGCGCTAAGATATCCAAAACCAGCACTGCTTGGCTCTTACTCTCGTAGCGTAATATTAGATAGCTTTAACTTTCAAAACTGGTAGTTCTAAAGATAAAATATTCGCGGACAAAAATACAAAAAAAAACATCAGCTTTATTATATTAGTAGAGATCCGGTAAAAAGAAATATGACAAAAGTAAGATAAATAAAATAAAGTGACGTAGTTTCTAGTACATTTTTCCTAATCACATATCAAATGGATTTCAAATATATTTTGTCATAAGTAATTATTTGGTCATATAAAATGATACAATGAAATTGCATTAAGTCGCATGAAAATAGATTAAAAAATATAAATTAATGTGGTAGGACCACGCAACAGTCCTCGCTGTTGCATTAATTGGCAGGGCCGTCCGGGTAAGTACTACGATCTCACAGAATACCGTCGTGGAGTGGAAGTATTATACTTGCGCTTCGTCTTGTGAGTGAGGTAGCCGGGGCCCACTTTATTAAAAGGTAGCAACGCATCTGCAACCCTACGAGTGTTGCAAATTTAAATGGGCGGCGGTTATCACTTAACATCAGGTGAACCGCTAGCTCGTTTGAAACCGTTTGACATTAAAATATATAATGGTGACTACGACAAGTATCTACTTCATGAATCCACAAAAACATTTGCTCAAATGCATGTGCATAGACTACTTACTCCAAAATGTACTCTCATAATTATATTTATCATCGTTGACACATGACAACATAGAAGCGCGCGTATTTCATTACCCGAGATTGTAGTATGAATATTCAGGTAATCTGACATAATACACAGAGGTTCTGCGACGTTATTAATATTGGCGTAACGTTAGCGTACATGTTTCGTATTTAATTTAAAACGATACAGAAACAATATTATATAATTTTACCGTTATTTTTCAATCATTAATCTTATCATGTCACCTAAAAGAATTCTGCTTCCAAATTATGAGAATAGGAAGAACTTGGCTATGCAGTAAAAATGCACGTAACAAACCGACCAATTGCCAGTCGGACTCGCGCACGAAGGGTACCGTAATATTATCTTTAAAAACGGCAAAATAATCATGCCTGTTGTACGAGTGCCCCACTTAAATAGTTTTTTTCTTTTTTAGTATCTGTTGTTAAAGCGGCAACAGAAATATATCATCTGTGAAAATTTGAAATGCCTAACTATCACGGTTCGTGAGATACCTGGTGACAGACGGACAGACAGACAGACAGACAATGGAGTCCCCAAATAGGGTCCCGATTTACCCCTTGCGTACATAATTCTAAAAATGACAGAATCATTAGTCTTATCCAAAGCCCCCTATGTCATTATTATCAAAAGTATCCCCACAGAATATAAAAATCCTTAAAATTACTTTTATGAAAGTTGTTATAATCTGTTTAGGGTTTTATGAGTACTACA